TTTTTTTTTTTTTCGATAACAAACCAGGTTCCCTTTTTAAACTTTAAGCTCGATCACGACTTGTCGCTGAGGATACAATGTTCGGCAATTGCCTTTTGCCGGTAAACATTGATAGCGTGATTTTTTGTGAAGAATGAACTGGCGATGACCAATTTCGGAATAGATATTCCAAATTTCATATGATACTGTCGACGCAGATACCCGAGGAAATCCATCCCAGGGACAGAATACATACGTAGTGTACGTACACACTAATTTCATCTCCTGTTTTTGAACTTATTCGTTAGGAAAGATATTCACACTCAAGGAAAATCAAGGAAAAAAAAGATCCTGGTCCGGCTCTCGCAATTTCAGAAGTTAACAGTTTCTCACACACCAACATGTTGTGGAAAGTTCGTATTGATATTGAGCATTATCAATTATGCGCTTTCTCATTCGTTTACATAGAAAAAGTGCGAATTTACAATGGCTGATGGTTATATTAGAATACAAAAAAGTTCAAGTTCTGGTATTTTGTGTCGCAATACACCTGCTCATTGTCTTTTGCTGGGTTTCACCACTAATCAGAGCCGCAGGAAACGAAATCAAAATATTCTTACAAAAAAATCATTGTCTAATTTGATTTACAGTGTATGCGTACACTTAGAGCGATTCAAAAGGCGAAACACTCCCTTTTGATTTTAGTCGCACAGCCAATAAACAGATACTCCACAAACATTCCGTGATACAAATAGAACAAATTACTCAGCTTCCTCGTGAAAAGACGTGCATTCAAACAGCATGTGGGTGTATAAATATGACGTAGAATTATTATATCTAAATATGTAACAATAGATCTGGTAATGTATATACAGTATGTATCGTGTTGTATCATTGCTTGATGTCCATATACATAATATACTGTATATTATATTACGATTAGAGCACTAAATGTCTCCTTGACCGTTTTTATGTTTCTCCTTCCTTTATTACTCCTTCCGGATTGTGAATTCTTTGAAAAAATTTTTTTCTTTTTTGTCCAAGATACCTGCCCATTTCTCTCCGTTATTGTTTGATAAACTTCAAAGATGCAAAGGAAAACATTGAAAAAACTTGTTATGCTCTTACTTGCCTGGATATTTTTCCCTCTTGTGTCTATGGCAACTTGTACGTTTTTGTTAATAAAGTTTTGTACACCAAAATGCTTGACATATTTATCTCTAACGGTCACATTTTTGTTTTGCGACTTGTAGTTTTCGCGTATTGCACATGCTGGACATTCTATCTTCTATACGGTAAACAAGTTTTCGACATTTCACCACCAAATTTTTACTGCGCATATCGATTCCTTCGTTCTAACTTGTTCTTACTCATTTCTTTAGCCCAAACCGATGCGTTGCCTTCGCAGCCTTTAGTTCCATTGAATCCCATACGAGTTTACAAGGTCACCTTATATTTACTCACTTGTTTGTATGAGAATTTGACGGGTCCGCTCATCCCATCTATACTTCAATATGTCTGGAACAAATTGTCCAGTGAAAGGAAGAAAATATCGGTCAGGTAAAAAAGAATTCAAAATCAAAAAACTTTCAATTTTCACCGTCTAAACAGATTATCATTGGTTGGAACTAACAGGAAGAACGTTCGATATGGTCCGAAAAAGTGTAATCGTCTTGATATCTACCTTCCCGATCGAGTCAAAAACAGTCGAGGACTCTCAACCGATGATTCACGTGTGGGATTTCCTGTGATCATCTTAATTAGCACTTCCTGGAATTCTGGTGGGTTTTTCTCAAAATTAGCAAAGATATGCAAAGGAAAACAAACATTTGTCATTTAGGATATGGTCACGTGAACAACATAATGATCGACATTTATTGATATGTATATGTAGGAAATCGAGCGACCTGCATTCCTGTTGCTCAGAATCTTCAAAGTCAACAATATACCGTCATAGTTCCAGATATCACTCTTTATCCGCAAGTATGTGACGCCCAAAATTCTTATTCGCATACATATATTATAATTCTTGATTTCCTCATGTTCTTCTTTAATGCAGGGCAAAATTTCGGATATGATTGCTGACGTTCAGCAGTGCATTTATTGGACAAGCACCCACGCCCGGTAATTGTCATTATATACTGATTTTAAATTTTGCGTGTGACTAACACGACACGTATTTGATCCCGTAGCCAATTTCGTGGTGACCCTTCACAGATTTATCTCATGGGGCATGCTGCGGGTGCAACTCTAGCGGCTTTAACCGTAATTCATGATGCCTGTGCCGCAATGCACGTTCTTCCGACCAACACCACGGGAGTGCAGCTTCCTGTTTGGAATAAAGCTGCCAAGAAAACCTGTTTACCCAGAATTCGGGGCTTGATTCTGTAAATAGTTTCTGGAGCTTCAATTTCCTAGGCTATTCAAGTACTCACCTCCTTTTATGGTCAATTAGATTCTCGGGATTTTATGATATGACCTATTACTATGCTTACCTGTATAAATTAGGTATTACAACTATTCAAGCTATTTGATTCTGTGACAACTTTTGTGATTATTTTCGAAATGAAATTGATCATTAAACTGCTTTAGGGCTCGAACACGTTCATGCCATGCCTCGAGTAATGGGTACGTACGCATTTATCAAATGATCATATGCAAGGTCTTTTGATTATTATCATATTAACTCATCAATTTACCAATAGGAAACACCTCTGGATCCTTACTTCAATGCTCGCCCACGTATTTAATCCATCATGCGCTGAAAAATACTCAAAAGTACGAAAAGTTAAGGATGCTGTTACCAGAGAAAGTGGTATTAATTCATGGCGAAAATGTAAATATCTTTTTTTTTAAAAAAAAAAAAAATAAAATAAAATAAAATCCGTTATTACGCGTCTAATATACGATTACGATATCATCAATTAGGACACATTCAATCCGTCATCATCCGCACAAAACTTTTTCTATCTACTTGATTCAGCGGGAATATCGGTGCAACTTAAGATTTACAAAGATATCAAACACATCAGTCCACGTATAGATTTAATTGTGCCGACCAAGAAACTGTGCGTACTTTTGTTGGAGGATATTAAAGAATGTTGTCAAGGAGAGCAAGGAGAGGAACAAGTAATAAAGAAAAAGAGTTGGGATCAGCGAGAAGAATGAACCATTATTTACTTTTACTTTATTTTATTTTAGTCTAATGTAGCTAATAATTTTACACAAAATCCAAAAATTATCTTTTTTTTATGGGAGAATAATCCACTTTATAATTATTTTATACTCCTCACTTTATTACACCAAAATTTTTTAGCATATTGCATGTATAGAATTTATAAATATAAATGTATTATAAGTTAGAATATCTGACTCAAATAGATTTTATGAGTTGTTTTCTAGCAAATAAAAGTTCCGGATGGCTAGGAAACAATTCATTCGCCTGGCAGCGAAGGATGTTTAGAAGAAATGCTGAATCACGATCATCATAACCAACGCGCTCATTAATACATCATTTTTCTCATGTTTAAATGCGTGCGATTCTTTTACAATTCATCGCGACATCATGCAAACCATTAATCCAGGTAAGGTGGGCCTTCGAATGGTAACAACAGTAGTGTATTAAGCAAATATTTCTGAATAACCTCTTATCATAAACACAGTCATATTGACTATAACAAATTAAAATTAAATTATAATAAAAACGCCTATTTTAAAAAGATTTTGTTAATAGAATTAAAAAATATATACCGCACATTATTTTGAAGATAAAAAAAATATTCTTTGAGGATGAATATGAATTAACAAAGATTCGTTGATTTTTATTAGAAAAGTAAATAAAATCTGATAATACATATTAATGTTTTTTGATTATCATTAATGTTTTTTAAAAAAAAAACATTAAAATATAAATTGATGTTATTGATTTTATTAAAATTCTAACATCAAAAATTAATTTTATTACATTATTACTATATAATATATCAAGTATTTAAAAAAATTTTAAAAAATTAAAAATCATAATAATAATATTTAATAATAATAATATTATTATTATTTTATATTAGGTGTTATATGAAATAAAACAAGTAAAAAAAAAAAGAAATATTCTGTTTATTATTTTTGATTTGTAAGTTCTTCAGCATAAACTTTTTTTTTGGTTTATACATGATAATTAAAAATTTTTGAAATTTTCAATTTTAGTCAAGTAGTTTTGCAATGCATTTTGTAAATAAAAAATGCAACAAATAAAAATAAATTTTTTAAAAAAGGCATATAACTTATTGAAATTATTGAAATTATTTATCATAATTGAATCGTTTTTACATTAAGATAAGTCAAACAAATCTTATGTTTTTTAAAAGATCATTAAATAATTAGAATTTATCTGATATTTTGTACAGTAAATTTGAATTTTTTTTTTTTTTTAAAAAAAAAAGAATTTGATGATATTGTATTTTATACGAAGAAACAAGATCCTAAATGTTACATTCTATGTCGCTTTTATAAAGTAGGTCTAGTCAGCGCTACTTCTAACTAGCTCAAGTACACTGTTCTCTTCTTCATCACTATCATCATCCAGATCCATATCGTCTTCTCGTTCAAATAGTGATACATCTACTGTGACATCCTCTTCTTCCATATACTTTCCATCGGATGTGGCGAGTGTTTCATCGCGTTCAAATAGTTGTCGACCTTAGGTATCAGAGATTCTTTAAAAAAAAAAAAAAAATCATACCTCCAGATTCCGAAATGATCAGTTAATTACCTGTAAGTTTATTTTTCTTGGCTTCTTCCTTCTTCAGGGATGCTATACTCTTCGCAAGCCTTTCTTTTTCTTCTATTTCTTTATCAAACTGTTCTTTCCACTCTAGGAATGATGCAACCGTTACTTTGGTACCCTGGAATTTTACTTGCTCCGCCTATCATCCACATGGGCAAATCCAAGCTGTTAGCAACCTCAGGAAATTCTAAAATCGAGGAATTTTAAGATAAGAAGCAAAATAATTAACCTCAATTTCCTTTTTAATTCGTTCCTCTTCGTCAAATTTTCGTTTTTCTTTCCTGTCTATGACGAGTGTTGTCAAAGATTCTTTAAGTAATGTTGCTAACGTGAATACCACTACCATTCCTATTGACTCTTGGGCCTTGTATATTCATAATTTCACACGCGTAGAAAATAAAAATTACGTCTAGGTTAAGAAAAAAGGTACATCATTGAAATATTTTTATATTACCACACGGATCAATTCAGAGTGAATTTTTTCATGTTCGCTCTCTTCCATTTCACCATCTATAACCTCTACGGATATTTCTGGGATTTCATCGGGATATGTGGGCGTATATTTTATATGCAGCGCCAAGGTGACTTCATTTAATATTACCGCAAGTCATTTTATCGAGATTAGCCCATTATGAAGAAAATCCAAGTTAAATAAAAAAAATTCTTGATATAAAACCTTACGCGGTGCAGAATTATCCTGTTCTTCTGGTTCGGAGATTATCCGAAATTCTCCATCCAGAATCTCTTTCAAAATCGGATCCGTGAAAAGTTAAATGGTTTAATCACTAACCGAGATTTTACCAATGTAAATTATAATTCACCTTCTAATTCATCCGGATAAATCGACTTCAACACCTCTAATTCTTGTTCTTGCTCTCCTTTATAGTCTAGCCACCACCCAATAAAAAAAAACGATGATTTGAGAACAATAGAAACCCAATAATTATAATTCAGTGTTTTTTGAAAATTTTTTAAACACGATAATCATTTTTCATATTCCATCGGTAATCATTACCAGTCATAAATGCTATCAATTTGAGAGGTTTATTTCCGATCTCGACGCCTTCCACCACATTTATATGACAACGCACGTGATTTGTAATGCAATGTGTATCACCAGTGATGAATAACATACGTAACGAATTATAGTGCAGTTAATATTTAAAAACAGATTTGATTTTTAAAGCAACACGCTTTTATAAATTATTTCTCCGGTTCAAATAGTCCAAATTTAACATTTTTGTAACATTAGAAACGAGCGTCTTTATTGATATTGTAGAGAAAGAAAATATTCTTTTTCAATTGTTCGAAATCTCAGCTTTTAGAATGTTCGTCAAAGATTTAGACAGAATTACATGGAGAATAAAAATATAAAAGAAAAATTCACTGATCGGCGGTATAGTGAGCATTTTTCCTTCAAACACTTCTCTATTCAGTGTTAAACTACATTAGAATTTCTTACCAATAGTTATTCAATTTGCAAAAGTTGGTTTTTTGGTGGTTCCAAAAATTGTTTTAAAAAATAATGATATAAGTCCCAAAGTAAAAGTCGTAACCAAAGATGTAACCAAATATATTAAACCGCCTTCCGCTTTGACCTCATCTCTTCGCAACTCTAAACTTCGGGACTTATTGACCGTTACAATTTCTTGTGATAAGGTCTCTGAATGTTTGTCAAAGACCTTTGTTTTCGGTTTTATTACAAGTTCTTGTGATATATTTCGCGTCGTTGACTTGGAATTTGCATTCTTTGTCGATTCCCCAGGAGATGATGATACAGTATTACTTCTCCTTCGGGCTGCAGAAACGTCAGTTGAATTTATGTGCACGGTTTCTTCATTTTTTTCGTCCTTGAGTATTGATGAAACGACTGTTTTATCGAGGTTAACTTTTTCCGTGTTCAAGAGATCTATCGTCGTGTTGTAAACTATTGTCGTATTTGTATTTGGAAAAGTACTTTTTACAGAAAGTGAGTCACCGCAAGCAGTTGCACTACTACCTAGATCTTCAAACAAGTTTTCTGGCAAATCATAACCAGCAGTCATCTTATCTAAAGGATAGAATTCATTAGGCTTGGGTATGTAAGAATTACTTCTTAAAACACCGTAATCTTCGATTGGACCGGTATCTCCATTTGTTGTAAACGCCTCGTTAACCATTTCTTCAACAATTGTTCGCTCGTCATCCTCGATGGCTTCCTCAGTAACCAATCCTTCGCTTTCGTAAGTTACGCGAGACGATATTAAACCTCCATTGTTCTCAGCATCTTCTACATCTGAAATTTCAACTTGCGACTTATACACTCCTTGATTTTCATCCTCAGAAATAATTTCTTCACTTCCAGTAGAGTAATGTTGGCTTGGTGAAACGGTTTCTATAAATTCAACCTTTTCTTCATCCGCTATAATATAATTCACGGATTTGTTTGTATCAAGGTGTGAATGTTCATGAGATAAGGTTTCCTCATTTTGTGAGACTTGATCAATTGTTTCTTTTACAATAGTTTCGGGAGTGACTTCTATTTCTTCGGTTGATAATGATGAAGAGTCAACAATTTCTTCGTTGGTCTGAGAGTCGTTATCTTGTAAAGTTTCGATTTCAGCACTTTTCTGATATTCCTGAGTCTGTAAATTCACGGTTCCGACATTCTCCGATGGATCATAGGAATCCACAGCCCAATCATCAAATTCCAAAGAATTTTGGGTCTGTAAGTTCTCTAACTCGGAATTGTTTATGAACTCGATTTCATTATTTTCAAACTCCAAAGACTCATTTTTCATCATTCCGGTTTCATTCTTATTCTCCTCCAAAAATTCTCTTTCAACTTTATTTTCAACATGCTCCATAGATTCTTGGGTTTGTAAAGTCTCGACTTCATCGCCCCTTATCTCAATCTCGGTTTCGATTTCCGAAGATACTTTGGTCTGTATTATTTCGGTCTCAACTTCGACATTCAGAGATTTTTCGGTCTCTGTCTTAATATCTTCCAATGGTTCTTCGGTCCGTATTATTTCGACCTCGGCCTTCACGTTTTCTAAAGGTTCTTCGGTGGGAATTGCCTGGTTTTCGGTCTCATCCTCCTTTAGAGAATACTCAGTCTGCATGATCTCAGTTTCGGCTTCCGTGTTCCCCAAACATTCATCGGCTTTCGTTTCACTATCTTTCTCCGTCTGAAAAGTCTCTAAAGATTCGGAAACGTTGCGTGTAATTACATTAATGTTTTGTTCTGATGTGGTATAGGTTATATTTAAAGATTCCACCGTCTCGTCATTCAAAATCTTTTTGTCGTGCGATGCATTTTCAGCAATGTTAAATCCACCAGTGTAGTCATCATGAAGCATAGTTTTTTCATTATATGAATCTGTTTCAGTGTTCTTTAAGGAATCCTCTGCCTGCAAATTCTCTGAAACGAAAGGTTCCAGAGATTCAGATTCCAATTGCTCAGCTATTACTGCATCACGTGATGAATCATCAAAGTGAGACTCAATTTTAACATTATCTGAAGACTCTTTGTCAGTGCTAAAGGCAACTTCTTCAATGATATTGGAAGGTCTAACAACCGACTCTTCGGTATCGATTGTGTGAGAAATATCATCGGATTCCTCTTGTTCCTCAGTGTATTCTACAGTTTCCTTAACCGTGACCTCTGTTTCCTCAACAAATACAATTTCACGTGACTTTAATTGTTCCTCTACAGTTTCCCGAACCGTAGCTTCCTCAAATATGTCACGTGATTCTTCTACGGTTTCTCCAACCGTGATTTCTTTTTCCACCTCGGAAAATACCATTTCAGGAGATTTGTCCTGTTCCCAGATGTCTTTCACAGTTTCCTCAACCGTGGTTTCTTTTTCCTCCTCAACAAACACCGTGTCACGTGATTTTTCTTCATCTTCCTCCTCAACAAATACCATTTCACGGGATTTATCTTGTTCACCGGTGTCTTCTACTGTTTTGTCTTGTTTCTCGATGTCTTCTACTGTTTTGTCATGTTCTCCGATATCTTCTACTGTTATGTCATGTTCTCCGATGTCTTCTACGGTTGTGTCATGTTCTCTGATGTCCTCTACGGCTGTGTCATGTTCTCCGATATCTTCCACGGTTGTGTCATGTTCTCCGATGTCTTCTACGGCTGTGTCATTTTCTCCGATATCTTCTACTGTTATGTCATGTTCTCTGATGTCTTCTACGGTTGTGTCATGTTCTCTGATGTCCTCGACGGCTGTGTCATGTTCTCTGATGTCTTCTACGGTTGTGTCATGTTCTCTGATGTCTTCTACGGTTGTGTCATGTTCTCTGA